GAAGGGAAGGGAAGGATGAAGGGAAGGGAAGGATGAAGTGAAGGGAAGGATGAAGGGAAGGGAAGGATGAAGGGAAGGGAAGGATGAAGGGAAGGGAAGGATGAAGGGAAGGGAAGGATGAAGGGAAGGGAAGGATGAAGGGAAGGGAAGGATGGAGGAAAGGGAAGGAGGGAGGGAGGGAAGGAAGGACGGAGGGAAGGAGGGAAGGAGGGAAGGAGGGATGGAGGGAGGGAGGGAGGGAGGGAAGGAAGGAAGGAAGGAAGGGAGGGAGGGATAGATAGATAGATAGATAGACAAACAGACAGACAGACAGACAGACAGACAAACAAACAAACAAACAAATACATATTTATATATATAACTTCAGACATGCAGGTCGATATAGTATGATATAGTGCTGTTAGCAGGAGGATTCAGGCAAAAGGAGTTTGACGGAGCTTGTTCATCTGACACTGACTCCAGGATTGATTGATGGATGAGTCAGAGAAGGACGTGTTATATCCTTGTGCCTGGATTTCACCGAGGGGCACAAAGCTCCTTCCAATCATGACCAAAACCAGCTGACGCAGCGCCGGTGTAGTCAGTGCCCACATCCATTCGCCTGCGGTCCTCACCACGACCAGTCCGTCGGGAGGTCCGGTCTCCTGGATGCCAGCTCCCTTAAGTGCAAATTGATCAACAGGATGCCCGGATTAAGTGCAAGCGCCCGTGACAGATTCTTTGCACTTCCGGGCCATGTTCGCTGAGTTTTGATCATGATCGCGTCATGATTCGACTGGCGCGTCTCTATTTTTTTTCAGTCACATTGACAACATCAACGGACATTCTGTGAGAGTCCATTTAAGCCCATGAGAACAACCTAAAAAGAGCTCCAAGAATCGGTGACCGACCTATTCTCACTTCTCGCGTTTTCGCACCAAACACCGCACCACACGGTGACTCGTTGGTTCTGACTGGAGGGTGCTTTCGGATGACTCGGTAGGTCCAGACCGAACCTGAACCCCAGCCGAGCGGCATCTCCACCCATGCCTTGAAACATGGCTTTCTCGGTGGCCACCTGGCACGAAAGATCCATGACTCGAACAATGATTTTGTTCAATGTGTTTTCTCGTTCTTTGTGTTGTTCATTTGCCAAAAAGGACATGTGTTCGTTTGTTTTCTCGTTTGTTGCATTTTGTATGTTTTTGGTGTTCATGTCGTTTTGGGCAGGTCTTGCTGAAATTTTGGAGTGGCTCCCCCATTCGCCGGTAAGAAGGACAACGTGCTCATGTCCTGGCTTGTGAAGACACAATTGGATACTTATCGCGGACTTGCAAACAGAAAGTTCAATGTGCTCATGTTTCCAGGAAGCCACCAAAGCCTAAACCGTGACAAATCGAACATCAACGGCAACCTCTTGGGGATAGAGTGGACTCGTGTATTCGGAGAGAACGTCACCTACTGACTGGCACAAAGGATGTTTGCAAGGCTTTGCAGCAGGATTACTGGCAGGATCCAGAAATCATGGTTCTGCAGGGCAGGCTGATTTTGGACCGAAAACACGGTGCCCTGACAAGTCATATGGAACAAGATTTCCGCTTTCAGCGGCTGCGCAGCCAGCTCCACCATAGGCTGGCGCGGCTGGGGAAACAACAATGACCTTCGAAATTCCAACAAACATTACCTCATCTTTGAATTTGACCGACATCTTATGAATTCCCTTCTAGCTTAGCACGCAGGAAGACCCGAGAACGACTTGAGGAAGAAATCTTCGAGACAGGAGGACCCGAACTTGGACTTCTCGGAGCTTGTTGTTGCTTTTACTTCGCACACCTCAGACCATCCATGTATTGTGACCCCTGACCCTCCACCCAAAAAGAGTAGGTCGCTCATGGTCGGCCAGTCTGTTGGATCGTCTGGATATCCACTCTGGGTCGGATTCGAGTGAGTTTCTCCGCTTCTCCGGTCAGCATGGTTTCACTATAACTGAAGACAGCATCCAAAGCAAACCAATATGTGTTGTGGGTTGCTCTTGGCTTCGAAATAGAAAGCACCATCCCATAGAAAGCTTTTCAGAGATCACAACGGGGTTTTCAGCCTCGCCTGGAAGTCTTGCTCATACTTCAGTCGCTCTGACTCAGTAGTGAGCTTGCCTCAGGGCCACGTGGCTACACGTGATACATCGTGAGGGATGTTCCAAACTCAAAGTCAACCAAAGTCCTGGGTACCCACTCAAATCCTGGATGACAAAGCCCAAATCCTGGTCAAATCGGGTCAATCATTACAACCGAACGAGGTGCATGCTGACAACCATGAAACTTCTGCGGATGTGCTGGGTTGACCAATGCCCCACAGGGTCAAAAGAGGGCATAGGAACATGTGTGCTGGACAATCAATCAAGACACCTGCTGCGGGAAACCCTCCCACCCACCCAGTAAAGGGAATATTGCCACCATTTCTCGGACTGCACTTCTCTCAGCCTTCAAGTTATACCTTCTAAAGTTTAAATAGTCAACAACCATTAACTATCCCAATCAGATCCACAACTCAACTAGATTCTGCCTACGAGTCCTGTTCTATGCCTAGGATCCCTTCCTATTCCCTTCTATCCCTCCTCTATACACTACTGTAAATATACTCAGTGCAATCTCACCCTATTAGCGATCCACATCGCCAAAAGGCGTTGCGCCAAGCATGTCTCGGCAGCTCGCAGGACGCTCAAGTGGAGCCAGGCACAAAGCTCTCGGCTGGGCAGCCGCGTGCGCCGCAGTAACTCCAACCACTCCTGGATCGCAAAGGCTTCTCTTCTGAAGCAAGCGCTGTATGAATGAAAGTAGGCTTCCCTCTTTCACCAAGGTGGAAGGGCCATTGCCATTGTGCACCGTGAGACTGGTCAAGCCATCCCAAACACACCATCCCAAACACGATTCGCTTTCATCGTCGCTATAGTCATTGGGATGTCTGTGCGAAAGACGATGTGCCCAAAGGAGTTTGGGTCGAAAAATTTGTTCTTTGTCCGGTTCCCCCACCTCGCAAATCAGCTTGTAGAGGTGCTCCGCAGCCCTCCTGGCTTCGGCAGCGACGAAGCGGCAAAGACGTGCGGCTGGCTGGCTGGGTGGCAAGTGGTGGTCCAAGCGAGCAGCGCACAAAGCTGTGCATAGGCGTGCACAGCTTAACTTGGAACGGAAATTAAACTACTTTACTGAGCTGCCCTGCCTCTTGCTGGACCTAGTGTGTGAGGTTTTACACCATATCAGTTATGCCTGTCAACCAGGCTCTCAAGAGAAACTAGTCCTGATCCTTACTATATTTGCAAAAAACATTGTTCTGGTCAAGGAACACTATCGAAGCAAATACTCGGCAGCTGCCAACTCGTTCTAAAAGATCTTCACTCCACAAAACCAGGGCCATTCAAGGCCGCCTCCCACCCAAAAATGAACATGTCCGACAGTGGGCGATAAAGTATGATAAAGTTCAGATCTGAAGTCGCGTTGAAGAAAACAATCCTCCACCCCGTTCATGATTTCTGAGAGTTCCATACACTGACAGTGCTGTCTTTTTCATCCCTTGCAACTCACCTCTCCGGATGAGAGCGGCCTTGGGTTGGCACCGGAGTTGGGTTCGATGACCTCGGCTGCGATGCCGTACTGGTCGCCTCCCAAGCTGACCTCATCAAAGAAGGAAGAGCGACGGTCGCGTGGGGATGGAGATAGCTTGAAGAAAGCACACAAATTAGATAGAATTAATATATAACATAACTAATATACACCTATAATATGACTAACAACTAAGACTAATAATGTATATGTATATTAAATGTGATTGACACAAAGGTAGCAACAAAAGATCCTCCTTCCCTCGCACAGCCGCGTGCGTTTTCCACTCACAGCTCACCTGAAGGTTGGTACGAACGGTCGGGCGCCTCGCCCTGCAGTGTCCTCACTGCTTCTATGGCTCAGGTCACGGGTGACCCACCCTACACCACCCTTGCGGCCTCGCACACTCGTGGCTTCGGACGTGAACACACCTGAGTGGGTCAAGACTGGTTCCTCAGTGACCGAAAGGTTCGAAATTCACACTCATCAAAAATTCTATCAATCTTTTTCTTTGGTTGTACGTCGATCATCCTTCTTGCTGCTGGTCTCCCATTAGAGGGATCCCAGACTCAAGCCACCTAAGGCGTGTTCTGCTGTCAGCTCGCTCTTTCAGCACTTGCAGTTCGTCATTTAGTTGATACATGCCTCGTTGCAAAGTGTATCGGAGGAAAGTTCCTTGCATCACCTTAGTTAGTGCATCAGCGAGCTGAGCTCCTGTATGAACCCATCTTAATTGAATGCCTTCGGATAGCAAATCTTTTATTGCCTTTGCTTGAAGTTGTGTACGGAATTCCTGGCAATTTGGTTGAGCAGTTCGGGTAACCAAATCATACAAAGATTTGCAATCTGTGACAGCTACTGATCGTGGCAAACACTGGGCTAAGGCTGTCGTAGATTGGATTGGTTTGGGCTCACTCTTAAAAACCTCATGCGGTCGTTTCCAATTGACTTGGGGATTTTGGATCCATGCCCAATAGAGTCTCATCCAAGATAGCTGGTCTAAGCTTGTTTGGAGCGAAGTTGTTTCGGCTGACAAAGTACTCGTAACTACTTTCTGGATCTTGCGGCAACCCCAGGACAACGGGCTGACTGGGCATTGATAGTTCTCACTTATATCCCTATGGGTGGCCAAGATGATCATGCCTGTGTGACTTTCTGGGCTCTTGGCCGACGCAAATGATGCGTCCGAGAATAACAAGAATCTGAGATCCTTGATTGGGATGGGTTGGATTCTGATGCATGTGTCTTTGTATCGTTCTGCTTCATGAAGTACACGGTTGGCATCGTGCAACGTTTGGACCGTGGCTTTGTTGATCTCACTTTGGATGTAGCTTAGTCGACTTGAAAGATCCGGTCTCGTGTTGATGCTCGCGTACTGAAGACTTCCCACAAGTGCACGGAGCGAGTGTCTCTCTTCGGAGGTCACTTCATCCGTCAGACATGTTCGTCTGCTTGCATTCATGTGGATTGGCTCAATGTTGCTTACATACTTGGATTGGGACATGATGATACTTTTGTCTGCCTGTTGGTTCATCTCAACACCAGTGAACGTGAATTGACCTACTTTCTTTGATCCAAATGGGAATTTGGCTTCTAGCTTTGAGATTTGTTCTTCAAAGTATTGATCTCCTCCACCTAGTCCATCGTCAACATGAACTCCTAGGACCCCCGAAATTTTGCTTTGTCCTGGTTTGTATAGTACGTATGCGCATGGGTCGAAGGGTGCTGGAATGAAGTTCAAATCACGAAGGGTCCGATCCAATTCCTTATGCCACAAATAAGGAGCATCGATCAAACCGTAGGCTGATTTTTCGAGTTTGCAGATTTGATTGGGTTGAAGTTTCAATGCCTTTCGAAGTTCTTCAACAGGTTCCAGGCCTAGAACTCGATCTTCCTGCGTTTTGCCTTGCAAAAATGCAGCTTTGATATCGAAGCTTTTCAGAGTCCATCCCATGGATGATATTGCTTGCAACAAGAGCATTTTGGATTGCTTCCCAGGTGTCGGCGAGTCCCGGGGTATGCTGTCTAACTGGGGATCTTGATATCCAAGGACTACTAGACGTGCTTTCGGTTTATGGGTCTTTGGTCCTGGTCTGACGTTCTCAGTTGATCCGGTTTGAAGGTCGTCAGCATCAAGGGGTTTCCATACGCATATCCAGCGGCAACGCATTACCTGTTCCGGACACAGCTGATCCCGAAAGATTTTACTCACCGTCCCTGTGTTTAACCAATTTGTGATCTCCTTTTCCTTTGCTTGACGGAAGAGAGCTTGTTCTTCGGTGGACAATTGGTGCATCTTTACTTCTGTTCGGTCACGCTTGGTGGTGGTAGTCATCATGATAAGATCTGTTGCTGGTGAGTTTTCATCCCATTTCATCATTGTTTCTTGGGGAAACAGGAATTCAGCTTTCCATCCTACGGCTTCTGAGTCTATTTGGGCTTGGCATACACTTAGTAGGGAGTCACATACGAGTTCATCACTGAGATCGGATGCTTCGCTTGGGACCGGCACACTTGCTGCATCCTGATGACCGCCGGGGTCACTCGGCAATTCGATGCTTTGTCGGCTCGCTGGAGACACTTGACTCTCTGGAATCGAGGGCTCTTGATCTGGCTGGACCTCTGACGAATTCGATGTGTTTCCTGTTCCTACGTGTTGTGGGATTATATTGCTATCTTCTTGGCTCTCTGGTGGAGTTGCGGCCGCTTGTTCACGAATGTTGGCATTTTGTGTATCTTCGCCTTCAATCCCTGCGATCGGACTTAGAGCTCGGGGGATATGCTGGGCTTCCATGGCACTTACGGGTCGAACATGTTCAGGGGCTATCTTTACCAAGCTTCCTGCGTGATTACACCAAAGACAATGGGGACCTTCTTGTTGGATGACTCTGGCTGGACCAAACCACCCCCGTTGGGTTGGCGTCTGTCTCCATAGCATCACCCAAGTTCCCCTGTCATAGGATCCTCGGTGAGGACAGCTTCGCCGGAGAACAGCTCTTCGCAACGCAGAGCTGTTGTCTGCACAGTGAAAAGCTCGTCGTGCAGCTTCGCGGTATGCTAGCTTTTCTCGAAATCTGATTCCTTCCTGGGTGTCATCGTCTGCCAGGAGGTGCGATGGCAATTGCTCGTCCGATGAGATTGATGCTGGAATTCTGGACCCTTTTCCAAAAACAAGAGTTTCTGGGGAGTATCCCTGTTTCTGGCTCAGTGCATTCTTGGCAGAAGTGCAGTGCGATAGCGCTGTCTGCAGGTTGGTGTATGACGTTATTGGATGTTCCTGTTCATACTTCTTGAGCATTTCCTGTAGGATTCCACCATGTCTTTCGACTTTTCCGATTTGCCAGTGTGCACCTGGTGGGGTAACTATTGCTTTGATGTTGAACTGGCCTAGAAAAGTGAGAAATTCCTTGGATGTGAATTCCGTCCCTGAGTCTGCGTGAATCTCAATCGGAGCCCCTGCCCATTGGAGCCATCCATTGAGCACCTTGTCTATTGCATCATCACTGCTTTTACCTGGGCTTGCACATGCTACCTGGTAGTTTGTTCCGTAGTCGATGATGTGATAGAAGTGGAAGTTTGTTCCTGCCAGATTCGTGTATACAACACCATCTATCCCAATACAGTCGTTGAAGTCTAGCTCACGTTTGATTGTAGAAGGTCTTTGATGTTTGGGTTCCTTAGTATTCTGGCATACGGAACAACTTAGGTCCATGGCAGCTTGACACAATCGGGGTGAGTACCCCTGTTGACGCAGCATTGAACACAGGTTTTGACCATGAGGGTGTCCTAGGTTCTGATGCAATTTCAGCAAGAACGATTTTTCTTCGGCTGATATGGTGTTGAACTTTGGGCCATGGTCAAAGCTCGGCATATGGAGTTGACTCGAACTCGCTCCTGTCACTTTGGTCTGATCCGGATCCAGCTCTGTGACAGGTGCTTGGTCACTGCTTGGCAGGCTGACGGTTGCCTCCTGCGGCTCGATGCTTGTTCCCGTTGCCTCGGGACTCATATTCTGTTCGGTCGAATCACCTGATGCTTCTGACTTGGATTGGGGCAAACATGCATACATTGTGATATTGACTCTTGCGGGATGTGCTGGGCGGACTTGCTGCCGATGAGACAGGTCTTGCCAGTATTCCCAGTCCTTTTCTACTTGGATTACCCCCCCTATTCGGCTTACGATGATGGCACGACGATATGGGGCCTCATTCTTTACCAAATCCCTTGGTGGTGGCAATGTTCGATCTGATCCCTTACATGCTTGAACTTTCTTGATTTCTTTTTCGGGGAACATGTTTTGAAGCCTCTCCAAGATTTGGTGGTTTGTGATAAAAGTCTTCCCTACTCTTGGCAACATTGGTTGGATGTCCTTGATGATTTCTTCTAGTTGTCTCTGAGGTGACATGTTCATACTCTGCGATTCGGCCGTCTTGCCGTCAATGCGGCGGCGCTTGCACTCGTTCGACAATTGCTCCAGGGGTGTTGGTGGCAGTCGCACACCTTGGGACTTCTGCATGGGAGAACTCACACGGATCCGCTTGGATGCACTTTCCTCACTCGGTTGATCTATTCCTCTGGTTACAAGGGCAGTAACCCATGGCTCATGTTTCACTTTCAACATCACCTTAGCTACTTGTCTTGCAAACTTTCTTGCATAGTTCTCTGTATAGCTACTGACGGTGATTCTCCCGAGAGGCGTTGTCACGGATCCGGCAATGGGTCTGTGCTCATGATCTCGACGACACACCCGGCCATGCAACGAGGCATACATCTCTTGCGATGTCGTTCTTACAGCCATCTCCTTTTGTATGAGTTTGTTCGTTTCTGGACATGTCAACTGGCCTACGCGACACATGTCGAAATTGGCTTCCTGAGTATATGAATACAGCTCTTGCAGGAGTGGGGTCTTGAACATGATGGATTTTCGTGGCTGCTCCCAGTGCATGTGGTTTCCTAGCTGACGTGACATGCGAAGCAAGACTACTCCTAGTGCAAGTTCGAACAAGTGTGACTCTCTCTCTCGTTGAACATGTTCACACAATTGGATTGATCTCATTTCATTGAACGTGTTCCATGCGCTCCATGGTCCACAGGTGGGACTGAACCATATGTAACGGGGTCTTTGTTTCCACACCATTTGAAACAGAACACTTCTCCCCTCCTTGGTTTTGAGGTCCCCCTGCGCCCTTCCAAAACGGTTGGCTCTGCCGCCCAGCAATTGGACTTGCTTCGTCAGTTCACTGGCCTCATGACAAAACACTTCCAGCAAATGTAGACGGCTGCATCCGTTCGAGATCACTGGATCACACCTTGCTAGACTGGCTTCCTTCGAGATTTGCTGAACCAGTGCGTGGAATTTATGGGACACACTGTGAGTCTTACCTGGACTGACATCTTTTTGGCACATGGACGATACATGTATATCAGCTTCCTCGAAGGAGTCTAGCCATGACGAGCTCATGAAGCCCGGAGGTGGGCAATGATCTCCTGCATCGCACCTTCGATGGTCTGAAGGCGGGTGTCCATGGCTGCCATCTCCGTGTAGATCTCTGGCTGGATCTCGATCTCCTGAACTGGTTCCCAGGATTCGTCCTCGGCAAGATCTGCCAAGTCCTCTGGGGTCACTTCCTGAATCGGCTTGGCCTTGGCCTTGCTCTTGATAGCCGGATGAAGTGGCCTCTGACTTGGTGATGGCTGCAGGTCTTGACTGTTCAGACCCAGTCGGCGCTCGGCATAGGTCACCCTCAGTGAGATGTAGTGGATGAACTTCTGATGGTTGACCTTGTTCGACGAGCGGTAACTTGCCAGGAACCACTTCACATACTTGCCCTCCCTTTTCCACATCTCCGAGTAGGTCCGACCGAGATGGGCTGATCCGAAATCGATCTTGGCTTGGCCCATTTCGTCCAGTGATAGGAGCTTGAAGGCTTCGAGCTGATCGAGGGCTTCTTCCTTCTTTGCTTCCCCCATGACACGTGCCAAGCGGGCACTCAGAGCGGCTGCTTCGGAGGTCGGCATGATAGTGATGCGGCACAGGTGAACGAATGGGATGGTCACACGTGTGTGATTGCACAGATCCGGTCTTGAACCCAAAACGGATGACACCGGGTTGGACCCCCCCTGGAACCGATTCGAATGAGACTTTCTCACCCCCGCGAACACTCGGACCCTCGTTTGGTTTCTTTGTGTTCGTATGGGTCTTTGTTGATTCGGGCATGGCGGCTTCGAACTGTTGGATTCTGCTTGTTACAAGACCTGTCCTCACCTGAACGTTCTGTTTCATCATGGTCTTGGTTTCCGACTGCACTTGTCCAGGCTTCTGGACAGAGACACTTGGCAAGCTTTTGCAATTCAAAGTGGCGAAGGTCTCGGCAGGTTCAGCTTCAGCATCTTGACTGGTGGGTGTGATCAGATCATTTAGATCAACTAAAAACAAACCCTTGGCATTCAGCTGAATTGGAATGTTGCGCTTCAAGAGAGTGCTTTTGATCACTTCACCAGCTATATCTACGGTGGCTCCGATGGCTCGGAGCAGAGTATTCGACAGCAGGAAAGGTCAGCGGTCCGATTGGGACAACGAGTGCATGCTTGCTTTCAAGTGTCCCTTGATTCCCAAACCGAAAAACCACTGAACAACGACACCTTTGGACCTGCTTCCGAACCTCTGGCCTTAGTGCGGCTAGGAGATTGGCTACGAAACCGCTTCCTATGACGGTCTTAGTAGCACCTGTATCTACGATTCCCAGGGCATCGCGAGTTGAAAAGCTCGAGAATGCACTGGCTTCGGTGTCATGCATCGACTTGGCTTCAGGTGATTGGGCGGTGCTAGCAAACGCACTCTCTGGCAAGCTAGTCCTGACATCAAAATTCTCACACTCGCTGATCATTTCCCGTTTGTGGGCTAAATCAATGATTTCCCCTTCATTGGTCTCCCACAAACCCCTCAGAACACCGGTGTCCCTTGATTCACAAACAACAAAACTTGTTTCGTATTCTCTTGAGTGGCGTTGAGCGTCTCTTCGGTCAGCTCTGGCAAATCCATGAACTCCAGTGGCAGCGCGTCCTGCTCATCATTCACTGTCACCAGTGTAGGAGCAACAGCTGTCGATGGGACCGACTGAGATCCACGTTGTGGGCATTCAGCCTTCCAATGGCCTTTTCGGCCACAAATCCTGCAGCTGCTCTCCATGATCCTCTGCTGGAGGCTCTTTCTATTGCCAGAAAACTTTGAGGAGTAGGGGGATCGCTTTCCTTTTTCACCTCCTTTCCCTTTTCCTTTGCCTTTGTTCTGACTTGTTGGCCAGAACCCACGGCTTTTGAAGCGCTCTGACAGGCGGCGACGGGCATCCATGTATGATGATTGTGTCAATGCTAGATCTTCGTTGTCTTGCACTGCGTCCAACATTGTGGATTCATACTCCATGATCATGGCGGCGTCCTCGTCACCATCATTTGCAAGACCCTCAATCCATTCTTCCTCGGTCCAATCATCGAGATTGTAGGTGGGCTCGTCGGGTGCTTGGTCGTGACCATCAGCTTCTTGGGCAATGAACGCATTGGCCTCATAGGTTTTGGTCCTTGGATTGTTCTGCTTTCCGCTGGAGTGGACCTCATGGAAGAATCGACTTCCCAGGAGCTTCAGATTGGATACCACCTCTCTGTACTCCAGTGAACCCTGCGATTCAACAATCAGTCTCTTCTTGTCTTCTGAGCTCAGGGCTGAGTTGCGAAGCAAGATGTATGCACGAAACTCATCTATGCCGACCTTCATGCTCAGCAACTCTTCGAATTGATGATCGTGCCGAGCTAGATAGCTCTCATGGGTCTCGTCGGCTCTTTGGACCGTGCTGTATATTGCACGCTCAAAACTTTCAAACTTGTCCTCCAATCGGGATTTTCCCCAAATCCCTCCAAGGGCCTCCACGATGGCCTTCACTCCCTCCAAGTTTCCAACACGCAGCTTCTTTGGGTCCAGTCTGGCAACTCTCTGAAAGGCTGATCCCTCACATTGCAACGCAACTCGTGGGGCAAGCAGGTGTAGTTGTTCTGGAGGCCATAGTGATGCCAGGAACTCTACTTTCCGTGACCATTCAGTGAGGTCCGTCTCACCAGGCTTGAAAGATGGAACCTGGCTCCATGGGAGATTGCTCAAACCTCCTGTCGAGGAACTGGAGCCAGCTGAATCACCTTCCGGTGGCATTGGGCTGTTTCCTCCCTGGAAGCCGCAGCTCAACAACTCTGTGACAACACCACCAAGACAATGTGCAACCTGTCGACTGCCTTGCGGCCAAACAACGTACTCACCGACTCAACCACGCAGTCAACAACAACCAAGCACAAGGGTCAGGTGTTGTCTGGAGCTTTAGCGGACTTTAGCGGTAGCTCCGCTACCAATGTGATTGACACAAAGGTAGCAACAAAAGATCCTCCTTCCCTCGCACAGCCGCGTGCGTTTTCCACTCACAGCTCACCTGAAGGTTGGTACGAACGGTCGGGCGCCTCGCCCTGCAGTGTCCTCACTGCTTCTATGGCTCAGGTCACGGGTGACCCACCCTACACCACCCTTGCGGCCTCGCACACTCGTGGCTTCGGACGTGAACACACCTGAGTGGGTCAAGACTGGTTCCTCAGTGACCGAAAGGTTCGAAATTCACAATTAAACTATACATATTAATATAGTTTATTTGTTATACTATTATAACTGTAATTAATTATATCACCTCTTGACACCACCCCAGGGGTGGAGAAATGAGATGAAATGAGTGAACAAAAACATTGAAAAGCTGAAACTATAGACTGCTATATAACGGTCTCAATGTATTTTTGGTAGCTATATAACCGGTTTCTTTGTAAACCTGTCGGTGAAGTGGTTGTGTTTGGCAACTGAAAGTGCTCAGAAAAGGGTCGGAAACAATTGGCCAGGTGTAAAGAAACAACAGTCCGTGACTTGGGGTATCGAAACAAGCAAGAAAGATTGCTCAAGAAATGCTCAAGTAAGTATGGAAACCTGACCTTCTAGTCATCTAATGTTAGTAGGAGCAAGGACGCTACTAGTAACAAAGGGCACCGCTACTAGTAGCTCCTGGCATTACTACTAGCAACAAGAAGCTACTTGTAGCAATTTATCTGTGTATGTCCTGACTCGTTGGCATCTCCTTCCTCTTCCGCGTTTGCAAACGCCAAAAAGACGCGAAGGTCGCTGGGCTGCCCCGACCCATAAAGCCACATGCAGGACTAAGCGCAAGGATTTCAAGCCGCGCATGTTCAGCTGCCGATTAAACTGGTTCACGATCGTCTCATCCTGGGCTGAGAAAACATGTTTTCAGAAAAAGGGATGTCTTGAAGGGGTCATGGATTTCTATAGCAACCATGGACCAATGGACACTCTGAGACTCCCTCTTTTGCTATAGTGTTCTTTAGAAATTGAATACAGTAACTTTTTACTATGAGAGATGCTTCCACAAAATAGAAGTGACTCCTAGACTCCACAGTACCCTGAGATTCCATGGACTTATAGGTAATAGGTCCCAAACAAGCTACTTACAAATGTCCATTGTTGATACACCTGCAAACTATTGGACAGCTCTTTCCGATTCACTCCTGGCTATTTGTGGATTAGTCTCTTGGGGATCCATTTGCAATTGCGGTTGATTGATAGATGTCCTGCACTAGAGAAAATGAAGACGAGCGGACAAAATACATTGGAGAACCCAATGCGAAATCACACCAATCCAATGTTGCAAATGACACCAATCATCGTTGTTTCAAGCACCTACCAAAACGTATTAGGTCTTAAGTGGTGGATCCCCCTCTTTTTGTGCCTTTCTTGCACCCTCGAACCTCGACCCCCTTTTCCGCCGCACGACTAAGGTCGCGGCCAAGAGGTCGCTCGTGGCCGCGATGAAGCCCGGCTGCGCCTTCCGCGTGAGTGTCTCCTGACGGTCGTGGCGTCGGTTTCGACCGTGCGGGTGCTTTATCTCGTTCCTACTAGCAATAATGCTCCTAATAGCTTCTTGTTACTACTAGTAACAGGTGCCACGCTAGTAGTAACAGGTGCCTTACTAGAAGTAACAAAAGCTATTAGAATTAAAATTACAGTAAATTTAATAGCTTCTTGTTACTACTAGTAAGGCACTTGTTACTAGAAGCGATGCACTTGTTCCTACATAGTGTCTTAAGTTGAGAGGATCAGGGACCTTCGGACTGGCTGCATCATTTTGAGATTTTCTAGGATAGCCCACAGAAGTGACCATTCTCCACTGGATATCCAGCTGAAACGTACTGAAACTAAAGAATTCCTCAAGTTGCCTTTGACTTGACTATCCTTACCACACTCTGTTCAATATAGTTCTTTTCTAAATCTACTGCTCTGCACTGCAACTGGCAAGTAGGACCTTAGCTTGCCAGTCCTTACATACTCTGTGATCAAGGTATAATTCTTAGTGGTCAGCAGCAGTCAATCCCTGGTAAACCCAAAAACATCCAAACACATCATCTAAGTAAGGCCTTCTTATATATAATTCATGTGGAGGAGGTTTAGTTTATCCCACCTATAGGCACCTGGGAGGACGACAAACGTTCGTCGACTCCTGGTTCACGGTCCTCACGCCTTCCCTGGGAGGCCGAACGAGACGTAGACCGAGACGGAGAGCAGACCCAGACGGAGGGGTCAAAGAATGATTTTATGAAATGAGAAATGAATAGAAATGATGAAATACTATGAATCATCGAATCATATCGAATCAAATCGAATCAAATCGAATCACTTCAATTCTATGATCAATAATTCGATGTGTCTCTCTTTATCAGCTCTTCTTCTGTCACGCCCTTTGGCTGTGACACCCACGTACCCTCACTTACCCCCTCCCGGAAGTGTCTTCGCCCAGCGGCACGTTGCGATGCGACTCGCCGCCAATGGGGGCGCCGCAACCCACCACCGGGCAGCGGCCCAGCTGCATGGGGCGCGTGCACTCGCCCACGGAGTAGGGGTGCCCACGCGGGCAGGTATACCTCAGCGGCGTTCAAAACGAGAGTGACACGTGGGGGCGAAAGCAGGGTCAAACGAGCACAGACCCAGATATCCCAGATAGCCAGAGAGCCCACTTTGTTCTTTCAATGCAATGCATATTCAATCATATTCAACTATACTACGTATCCATTGAGACTTGTGCCACTACCGTAGACTAGCAACAATGTTTCACATGGCACTCCATGTTGCCGTGGGTTTGGTAACAGCTCAACATGACTTCCACTTAGTGCAGTTGATGTCTTACTTAAGTGTGAGTAGCTGCACCAACAGAAGATTGGCGGAAGATTGGCGTGTTCGTCCAGGGCAGGTACTTACCCAAAGCATCCCGCAAGAGGGAAGAATACTACATGATGACCGGTCCGACAGTGAAATTCAGGGAACATCCTACCAGTACAGCGTGCTCCATGGACCATCCTCCACCGCTTCACCAAGGAACCAGCCCACATAGCCCATGGCACCAATCACCGCTGCCTCCTGCAGATGAAGCACCCATTGGTCAAAGGACGGAACACCTGACTCGTGCAAATGATCTATGATGTGTCTTTTTTGCTGTTCTATCTGAAGTACATGGACTTGGACTTGGAAAGCTGTCATTCGTTGAATCCAATCCAAATCCCGTGTCGAATGGCTGTATATACTCTATAGTGACAGGTGTTTTGGGGGGTGGATCATAGAATTGGGTCGCACGGTGGAGTCACCGGAAAGCCGCCCATGCTTCCAGATCTCGAGTCAACGGCCAAAAACACGAGTTGGTAACCAGGTATCGCAACCATTTTCACTTCCCATGTCAGACCCAAGTCAGACCCAAGTCACTCCGCATCAACATCACCCAAACAAGGCACAACGACCCAAAACCCAAACCAATGAATGATCCCAAAAAGATCACCCCCCAAAAAAGACATTTATATAATTTGCGATGAAATCAGTCCCGAAAGCAGTCCCATCCTCCCTCCCCAGCTTCCCCCAACAAGACACGAACTCACTCTCAGGCATCGTCCGCCTCACTCTCAGGCATCGTCGGCCAGTAGAGCCGCTTCGCTTCCTTTGGGTTCGTCAGAACCATCTCGAGCCTCGACGACGGAAATCGCGGACGGCGCCCACGGAAGGGAGAGCGTGGAGAGCGTGCGTGAGAAGTACGGGCGTGTTGGGAGAGCGTGATGGGCATGGAAAGCCAACGAAAAAGAACAAAAGACATATTGAAACCCACAGTTTGGCAGTTGGACTGATTAAAAGCAAATGGATCGAATTCAAACCCAACCAACTTCAAATCCACACCCATACACACGATGGCCACACACATGCAAAACCGTTTTACTTCCCCGACCGTCGGTGACATGTTTCGACGAAGCGAGGTGAGGGCTCGCTGCAACGCTTCCGGGTCTGGGCCGCAGGGCCAAGAGGAGGCGTATTGCGAGTCAATCAGCACGAGGCACAGCAAGGAGGCCATCTGCTCCAGAAATTTCCTCATCTGGGAGGCTGTCAGAGCAAGAGGAGGATTGTGGCGGCTAAGAAGAAGCGGAGGGTGATGGTGGATTTAATTGAAGAACAAAGACCTTCATTACATGCCATAAGAAGTACGTGTGGTTTGAATGGAAAGCAAAGCCTCAATCAGTTGGAGCAAACTTGAGACAGCCTGGGGCCATGCTGTCCATCTCCTCCGGATGATTCTGAAAGGCTATTCTCAGTAAGTCTAGTTGCTTCTACTCTGTGAGACCATAAGCGGCCATCCTGTCAGAGAAGTGCCTACTGCCCATTCAAAACTCTTTCTCCTTTGGACATAATCACCATTTTGTCCTACTTTCTTCATGAACTTCGCATGCAACAGTTTGGGTCTTGAAGCCAAACAGCACCCATCTGCACTAGCCTAGCCTGCCCAAAGCTAGAGAACCCCCAAAACCACCAGGGTCGGCGCTGGCGCCGCGCGGGGCTTCTGCGCTCCTCGAGGGCTTCTCAGGATCTTCCACGGCCAAGTCCTCACACAGCGATGGACCGAACCCGCATCGGTTGTGGTCGTCCTCCAGAGAGCGAAGCGTCCTCCCCTTGGTACAGACTGTTCCTTCCCAGAAGAGTTCCCTTCGCAGCAACTCGTATAGTTCATAAGTTCCAATATTCCATTGCTAAGAAAAAAGGTCCCTTGATTTCAAAGGGCTGTCTCGCAAGCCTTTGCCCCACGTGGAGGGGCGCAAACCGATGGCAGCCGTCCTTCACGTGTGGGAGCAAAGTGCCAGCAAACATTCGGTCAACGAGCGCCTGCTTGCTCCTGAGGCTGGTGGGACACCGGCCGAAAATGATGGGACACCGGCCGGTGCTGGGGCCGGTCTAGGGGTATGATTTCTAGTTGGAAGTGCTACATGACAATGATGTTGCTTTGGAAAAAACAACAACTTGGAGAGTACTTTGAATGGTAGTGTGAAAGCCTTGCGAAGTACGTAGCCTGGTTCCCATCCAGTTCCTATTCAGCTGGTGGACACAAAAATTCAGCAGCATATCGTCTTTGTCAATGAAATGGAAAATCAAACAATCTCCACCCCAATGCTCAACAGGACAACGTCGTGCTGTTGTTCTCGAGCACTGGTAGGCAAAAGTGATCTTTACATATCTTTACCCATTTCATTAGTTATGTAGTAAATATGTAAAGATCCCGAGTGTTAGTTAAAAAAGATCCCGAGTGTCATAAAACAGAACTAACGAAATGTCCTAGCTAATTATAAGTTGTGTCCTTTCTTCTAAAATGATTACACGAGAACCGAACCTCATGAAGATCCCTTCATGTCATGTCGACATCCCTTCTTGGTTGAAAGGTCGAAGAGGATCAACATGGATCAACCAATGCACGTGGACACTGGACATCATTGGACATGGGCTCACACCGTGGTCAGCCATTCCGCAAGGATCTGTCTAAAAGACATGTCAGGTCACGATGGGCGTGAGAATTTCCACCCCTTGGAAGGTCATGGTATATGATCTTCATTGTTTTCTACTGAGTTGATCTATTAAAACTAGGCTTCCAAAACATGCAACCACTAAAGCCTGACACATAGTTGTCTGCGCCTGAGAAAATGTTCTCTGATGTTCTCCAAATCGATCACAATGATCTGCATGCCACTTTGAGCTGCCCACAGGATCTGTTTTGGGTTTGAGTGCTAAGTGAACTCCATCCTTTTGCAAAGGACACTGACGGACACTATGCTTGAAAAAAATCATGTTCATCCTTCAGCGTTCCTTTTAGTTCCAAAACGACCTCCCCAACGATCTCCGGAAATCCCGAAGCCTTCCCTACACCCTACCGCTCACTGATCCTCACATCAAGAAAACAAACTGCGACGGCCACTTTCCTCCCATCCATTCCGAAGGCGCCTGCCACCTTCCTGGCACCATCTGGCACCTCTCTCCCCATCCACCCATTTCCTGGCGCGCGCCGTGCCACTGGCCTCCTGCTCACATTGGTCTCCTCATTCAGACTCTCCGTGGTCCACTCCTTCAGCTTCCGCAGACCTTCCTCGATGGCCACCTGCGGATTCAGTGCGGAGGGGCGGAGCGAGCACTGAACAAGCAGCACCCGGTCGCTTCTGGTTTATACAAAGTTCTATTTTGGTGTTTTGGTTTGTGCTATTTTGGTTTTTGACCATTCAATCCCATCCGAAATAAAGCTTGGTAGTGCCAAGCATTGATCAGAAATCAGGGGACAAAAAGAAACATGTGGTCCGTGGTAGATTGTTCAGGAATAGGGCCGCCTTTTTGGGTCGAGTCATCCTATTGTGAGGCCTATGATCGCTATACAAACACACGGTTTTTGAGGTACAAACATATATGGTTTCTTGCATGTTAATCCATTCTCATCCGCTCCCTCTCCTCTCGCACCGTGAATGCCCGTGCCTGGCGGTTCAACAAGACGCGGGACGTAATGGCGCCCAGCACCATGGCGGTTCTCCGCCCGCTCGCCACGCCGGGAAGCGCCCGAGCCACTGCCTGGCGTGGAATTTCGGTCCAGCAAAGCAAGGGGCACCTGGCGCGGTGTACCTGGTATGGAGACTGATACATTGCTGTGGAAATTAGCACCGCATGGTATAACCGGTGCTAAGTCCAAGATCAGATCAGGAGACCTGCCCTGAACAGGCACAATTCAGGGTACAGTTCTGTGAATTTCATGCTCAAAACCAAGAACCTTCAGATTCGACATGACTCATTCCCGAGCACCTCCTTGAAAGCCTGGTCGTTGGGAGAGCTCGCACAAAGCCCTGCAGCACTGCAAAGGGCATTGTACCTCCATCGCTGAGAACTGACGACTTTTCTGCGACGACAGTCTGAGCCTGATGTGCTGAACCCTGATGACCGCCTGCACCGCCGTCAACAACAAAAAGAATCCCCTGAACCCTGAATCCCTTTCCCTGAACCCTGGTTCTGCGGTTGACTAATGAGCCTGCAACGATTTCTCCACCAAACATCCCCACCAAACAAAAGACGTCCAATTCCCCCCGGCCAGGCTCCCATTTCGGACTGAGACTGCCTGCCAGCTCAGAGTGCGAGTGGTGCGGAAAACATGCGGTGGAGAGCACTTGTACGCATGCACGAACCACTCCTTAAAACATGAACATATTATATCTTATCCTGCATGGTCCATGCTTGGGAATCTTCAGTTGGACATGTTCTGATTGTTTTACCGTTCATTCCCCGTCCCTTTCACTCCTCACTACCGCTTAACGAAGTGTCAGGCCAGTGTCGCTCGCTCCCTCCTTTCCCTGCCGACATCCTTTCTTCTGATCCACCCCGTTCGACCGACCCTGTATGTCATTCGGCCTTTTCAAGGTCTCGTCCAACTTCGGCAGCAAATTCACCTCGAAGATCGGAAGCACCGAGTGAGCTGATCGACGTGATCGAAAGCTTCGACCGACTCAGAGAGAGTTGCCGTGGCGGTTTGGACCGTTCTTGTTAAGAGAATCTCTGGTTTTCATGGGGGTCAAAGAGATAGATGGGATCGATCCCATGACCAGGTTTCAGTGGATGATGATTAGGTTGCAGGCCTTTCTCGTTTACCGACTGTTACTGGCAATGGGACAGACCGTAGAGATAGACCATCAAGAGACCAAGTAGATCAAAAATACCGATTTCATCAAGTAGGAAAATGTTTGCTTTTGGAACCATTTTCGGGTGGTTCCACATTATTTGGGTGCTAGACTTGGACATTACCAGGTCAACCAAATCTCTCCAAAAACGAAACCCACCAAACACACTTGCCAGTACACAGCTGGCACCCCACCGAACCGGCGGTGGAAACGGTCGCTCCGAGCTGGCTCACCGGTCCTTGCCCCCGCCCCCTGTTCAGCCGAAAAAAGCAGAGCCCAGCCGCAAACGGATCTGGCAGGTCGTTCGACAGGTTCGGCAGCCGCGCCGGGTTCAAAGGAAACCATGGCAATGCACCTGCAAACGCAAACGTTGAGAGGGAACAAACCCATGAGTTATAACTGTTTCCTTGTGGGATTGGGATGCCTGTGAGCAGCTAACGTTCTGAGCTCGCATTCGCCTGCAGAACCAGCTCCACCCAGATAGTACCATGACGAAACGTTGCCAATGATTATACGCAAATCCTGACTGCGCTGACCACGTGCTGACCACGCTGGCCACTCAGCCTTGCCTTGGGGAAAAAGACACATAGCCCAAAAATGGTTTGTGGATCAACATGTTTGATATGACTGACAATTTTATGATTAAAAAGACTGGACATTGCCATTTATATGTTGAATGCTTCTTGCTTTCCAGAATCCACAACAGTGTGGTTGTGAGACCACGCGTATTGACTACCCATAGAACTCTCTCATCCACTCTCATCGACTCGTCGTTCGCCCACTAGTCGGTGCAGAAATCAACAAAACCACAGAAAGTTTGTTGCATGTTTGAATACCAACGCATGCCGATGCATGCAATTCCAATGTTTTTATTGCATTGTGCCCTGGATGCACTGCATTTGCAAAAAAAACATAGTTTTCCGCCCACTGTGTGAAATTGATACGCGCATAACTATGTTGCATTTCTTTTGGAAGGGTTTGTGCCATTTGGGGGATTCAAGCACCACGGCAAAGTATGATCTTTCAACGGCAAACTGTAATTTGTCCACGGCAAAGTGTATGATTACCGCGCTCGGACCACGCTCAGACCTCTCTATTTTTCACCCCAAAACGCGCGACCGTCCCATGCGCGACCGGAGACCGCGGGACCCGCGCCTTCATGGACGATGGCCAGGCGGCACAGCTCCAAATCGCCGCCTCGGCGGCGAATGGCCTTGGCCACAAACAGCGCCTCAGGGCGCGATCGTCGGTGGCGCGATCGTCGCGGCGCGGCGAGGGCGCTGGCCGCCTTGCGGCGCTTTCCGAGAACTATGGGGATGTGGGGGTCGAAAAGTTTGGGTGACCAAGCGAAGCAAGGACAATTGGGTGTTTTATGGTGTTTTCATCCCTGAAGTGTATCATTTAGACTCATCATGACCTTGTATTGGTTGAAAACGCTCTTCTGGGCTGAGGAACACTCAGGGAAAGAAACTGATGTTGAAGCACTTATTGAGTCGCATGACAGCCCAAAGCTCTGCAAAGGTTCAGAAAACGATGTTCCCAGGTTCCAGCGTACTGCGAGAGATTCGCTCTGGACGTTGTAGAAGTGTTTCCATCATCTGGTAGCAGTGCTGTTCTGCAGTTGTTGAGAGTATGTGCAAGTAGTTGATAGATCCAATAAATATCAATAAATAAAACAAATCAAACAGATTTGCAAAGACGGAATTGCAAAAGTCGGTCGGTCAGACCGGTGGATGTTCAGAGCAAGTGTATTGACTTAATGCTGATGAATGGCTCAAAAAATATCAGCTGTGTTATGTTGGAGACTTTGTGTCTGCCTGCTTTACTTGAATTCACCACCCCTGCTGGATTCCTGCAGCAAGGCTCAGCTGACTTGTTCCTCTTCAGCAGCTCTTGTAGCTCCGCCGGCGCCGGTGGTGGTACGCCAGAGCCCACGAGGCCTGGGCTTTTTAAGAGGCGGAAAACACACACAAAAAAAAAAGAAAACGACTTGAGCTTGCAGTGTGTTCTGCGCGGTCTCGATGTTGCATGATGTTGCGTAAGTTCTGTTGATCCCGAGGTTCAAGTGTGAACAAAAAGAGCAAGAGCAATCCCCCAAAAAGATGGTGCGCGACTGCACGAGCGCATACACGACATCCACCCTGCAAAAATACTCAAGCTGGCATGGATTTGGGGATATTTGGGGCATCGTGTGGAGGCAAACACTAGCCACCTGGAAAGCACGGGGACAGCATGTTCCTTTGGTATGCTTAGAGAATCTGGGGTGCTGATTTCACCAATTCTCATGAACCTTCTTGTGCTCTTGTGACTGTGACAGATCTGCTCTGACCAAGCCGCTGTTTGCATAGTGGCAAAGGCTTCGACGCAAACGTACAGCAGCACGAAGAAGATTCCTTAGCTGCCAAACGTATGAGTAGCAACCAATGAGAAAGGTCGTTGGATAAAATCCTGCCCTCCGCCAAACCACGAGAGACCCATTTGCACTGCAATTTACCGTGAGATTTCTCCAAGCTCTTCCAGTGTTCTTATTGGGGGATCTGTGAGTTTCTTGGGATAATTACCTACGCTGAGGGAAGAAGACGTCAAGTGAGGATGCACAAAAGGCCCCTCTTACGAAAGGAAAGTGGAGCTGAATTCCAGGTGAAAATGCCTGTGCTAGTCGGATAGTATATGCATGTGGATTCAGTCCGTTTCACCTCAGCTTTGAACCTCCGGTTTCATAGCAGAAAAGGATGAACATTCACGCGCATTCATCCAGAAGACCGTATCTTGCCACGAGCTTCTGAGGGAAATTCATGATGAATTCATCCATGTGCCATCAATGTTTAACTCCCCACACCAGGCATGGTGGCGCGGTTGTCCCGCGTTTTTCCCTGCTGTGCAAGGCTCGGAGAGCATGTTCTCGTGGTCTGAACCTGCAGACTTTGAGGGCCAAGAGGTCAAGAAGTGACGTAGTCGACCCAAAAGAAATCGCAGCAACCATCATGTTCGGGGATTTCTACAGATTCATCTCGATATCACTGGTCACCTAAAGATAAGACCCTGTCCATGATTAGACTTCCCAAGACAGGCACCATTCATATCTGGTCGACACCTTTGTGTTGAGCGCCACAACATATTTTGCCGAACTCATGAGCACCTCTAGTGCCCCAGTTTCGGCAGTCCGCGGCAGCAGTTGCATGCTTGCTCATCCTTCTTCACCCTCCAAAATACACCTCCATACTCTGGGTCTATCCCATTGCTAGATAATTGCTAGTAAAGGCCGTACTTATATAATATAGACTTATATATAATGGCTTACCGACTGCTACCTGCAGGTAATGGGTCACCCCCAATCCATATTCCTCTTCTAGACTGTCGCTTCTGCAGAAACCATGGCACACGACCAATCACACTCCGCAACGGGACCCAGAGCCGTTCGGCCACGTTCGATCGGTCTTTTGGCTTTTTTCGGCATCAAGCTCCGTGGCACTCAAGAACAATCCGGGATAGTCCAAGGTTCGGAGGCTTCGGGGTAATGACACTCCCTCAAGACTTTGATTGAAGTGGTTGCCAAGTGTCAACGTCTGGAGGCCGTTCGGCAGTGTCACTGTCTTCAAGCTCTGATTGAATGAGCTGCCAAAGGTCAAAGTCAGAAGGCTGCATGGCCAGGTCACTCGGTCCAAACTTTGATTAAATTCACTGCCAAAAGTCAAGCTGCGCAGGCTACTGGGCAAAGAGACTCTTTCGAGACTTTGATTGAAGTCACTGCCAAATTCCAGGCTCACTAGGCCATTGGGCCACGTCACCCCGTCCAACTTTTGGTTGAAATCACTGCCAAAGGAAAGATTCTGAAGACTTTCGGGCCAAGTTGCTCTCTCCAAGCTTTGGTTGAAACCATCACCGAAGGCCAAGCTCCTCAGGCCCAAGGGCCAAGTTACTCCATCCAGCTTTTGGTTGAAATTGTCACCAAAGGTCATGCTCTCAAGATTCTTGGGCCAGGTCACTCGCTCCAAGCTCTGGTTAAATCGATCACCCAATTCCAATCCTCTGAGGCTGCTTGGCCATTTCAATGATTCCAATCGTTGGTTGAATTGATCGCCAAAGGTCAGGCTCTGAAGACTGCCAGGCAACGTAACTCCAGTGCTGAAACTCTGGTTGAATTGATCACCAAACGTCAAATGCAAAAGGCCACAGGGCCAAGTGATTCGCTCCAAAGGTTGATTGAAACCATTGCCAAATTCGAGATTTTGAAGGCTTTCCGTCCAAGCGACACGCTCCAAGGGCTGGTTGAATCTAGCACCAAACGACAAACTCTCGAGGTTCTTCGGCCAAGTGACCCCATCTAATTTCTGGTTGAAATGTGCTCCAAAGATCAGAGTCTGGAGACTGTTGGGCCAAGAAACTTGTTCCAAGCTCTGGTTGAATCGATTGCCAAACTTGAGATGCTGCAAGCTGCTGGGCAGTGCAACTCGCTCCAGACTCTGCTCGAAGCCAAATCCGAGCGTCAAGTTTCGCAACTCGCACGGCCAAGCGACTCGATCCAAAGTCTGGTTGAAGAGCGCCCCAAAAGTCAGACTCTGCAGGCTGTGGGGCAGCACCACTCGCTCGATGCTCCGGTTGAAGGAGTAGCCAAACCTCAAGGTCAGGAGGCTGTTCGGCAAATGCACCGCCTCCAAGCTTTGGTTATAGGAGTGGCCGAAGGCCAGACTCTGCAAGCTGGGCCAAGTCACTCGTTCCAAGCGTTGGTTGAAAGAATAGCCGAACTTGAGATGCTGCAAGCTTTGTGGCCAATTGACATCCTCCACCTTCTGATTGAAGGTATCGCCAAAGACCAAGCTCTGCAGACTGCGGGGCCAGGTCACTCGCTCTACCTTATGGTTAAAACTATCGCCCAACAGCAAATTCTGGAGGTTCGGGGGCCAAGTCACTCCTTCCAAGCGCTGATTAAAGCAGTCGCCAAAGGAGAGAGATTGAAGCTGCTTAGGCCACGTCACTTCCTCCAAGCTCTGGTTGAAAAGTCTGCCGAATTTGAGGCTCTGGAGGCTGTTGGGAAGTAGGACCAGCTGTCTAAGAGTCTTGACTTCTTTCATTTGAGTGATTCCCTCCAGCGCTAGGTACGGGTTCTCAAGTGGCACAAAGTTCATGAACTTCCAGGCATCTTCTAAGGAAACTGGCTCATAGACATAGGACAAGGAACAAGACTCTCCAACCAAACCCTGTTCTTCCAGGGTCTTCTGCGGTCTTAGCATCTCCGAACCGTTCTGCAAGGACACTCGCGCACCCGCCTTGCACGGCAAATGCTCGCCAATCACGCGGTAGAGGTGACTACCTTTCAAAGACTTGGGTACCTTGGCCAAATACTCTTCGCCATGCAAGCCAACGATCCGGAGGTTTAGCACATCTTCTGCATCGGGATAAGCGGCCGATGGAGCGCTGCACGCCGCATCAGCAGGCCAAACCATGGAGAACAGGGCGACATGCGGGTCAACCCATCGGCACGGTGCTCCACATCGAACAACTATGAGGGCTCATATGGAGGTGTGGTGTTCGTATGGCCTATGGAGATGTGGGGTCAAATTGATATAGTATTAATTATGTTCTAGATTTTTTGAGGTGGTTGAGATACGGTCTCAAATCCCTAAGTGGGCTTGCTGAGGATGTCTACCGCTTTTCTTCCGCAGATGTCTACAGAAACCGGGCAGTGCTGCACCAGATACTCCGTCCTTCCGGTCGCTTTCACGACGACGCTCACTCACCGGCTATAGGGCAGGCCAGTCTTGGGCCTACAGAGAGGCGCGGTAGGCCCGTGGGAAACTGTACAGATACATGCATGCAGTACCAATTAATCTAGCCCTGAACTTCAAGCCATGGGGATTTTTCGAGAGTATATGTTCGATATTTTGGGATGGTACGACAAGATCGCACAAAGGGATCTTGCAAAATCTTTCCAAAACACAAAGGATGACATGGAATGACTCTCATTCTACGTCCGGGTCCAACTCCGAGCTTTCCAGATCGAACTGCTTCCAGTTCGCTTTTCAGTACCGTCTGCCTAGTCGGACCTGTCAACGTTTTACACCACGAGAAGCGACTGGAGCGACTGGATGGCCATGTCTGTTGGAAGAAAGAAAAACGCGGCAAAATGGACGGTCACCAAACTTGGTCGGCCTCAGCGATGTCTTTGTCTCTGCAAGTGTCCAACTCAAGCACGTCCTGCCATTGGCGAGGTGGGCAAATCCCGAACTGAGAGGCGTTCAAAAGAATCAAGCAAGGTGGGAATCACCATCTGTGAGACCATAGAAACTCCTCAGCTTTCATTGGCTGTTTCACCAAGTAAACCCTTTGTCATTGACCCCAAAATCCAAGCAAGAGCGGCACCCGGGTCCACTGGGGATTCCGCGATACGTGGGTGTGCGATGAGCAGTAAGATATGTCCGTTTGCAGCGAACCCAATACGGACAACCATGGAATAGTGCCTCCATCGATCTGGATGGAAGAGTTTTTCTTCGTCCTCAAGGTCACGCCCCGGTTCTACGTTGAGCTCTGCAAAGGAAGACGGGCGCCCACGCGTGTATGGAAGTCACAAAAACAGGGAGAACATGTACGAAGACGACAACGTGCACCTATTTGGTTCCGGCTGTCACACCTGGAGGAGGTCTTATTACTTTCATTACACACGCTCCAATTAATGTTTGCCAATTGAAGCACAAAGCATCAAATTGAAGCTTCCGCCTACAAGTAGAACCTGTAAAAACAAGCCAAAGGATCTGAGGGCTTTCCACTGAAACATATCAAATTGTGGGTCCTCATCTGAGTTTCGAAGTCCTTCCAAGTGACATTCCTGAATGCTTCCCTCAGAAAAAAAGGCAACATCTCAACACGGAGTTTCAACAAAGCTCTGGAATCAACGGCTGCTGCCGACTTCTGCAGACTTGCAGCCAGCGCTTCCACCGGGTAGCTTCTCGTCCACACCGTCCCGGTCCCCTTCCGACACCGGTGCCTCGAGAAAGTTCATGTAGAGTCGTAAGGTCTTCGACTTCAAGGTGGTCGACTTCAAGACCTGCGCGGGACTGGGTGGCGTTCCAGAAACGGTGTCCGGAGCCCAAAAGTATCCAAAGTGGAGGTGGTGAGGGATGAATTGGGATGGATGTGGCAGTGTACGATGTAAAGAGGTCGAATGAGATAGAATACACGCCCAATATCGAAAACAGTTCGTGGTACCAGGACCTTTAAAGTAACCTTTTGAGATCACAGCATGAGGTCACTTACTTAGACATGCAAAAGGTCAGTTAGAGACTCCAAAGAGGTCACTTTGAAGGTCCTGGTCGTCAAAGCACGGAGTTCGGGTCTGAATAACTTCGGGTCTGAAAGGGATTGGAGATTCTGTCGAAATGGATATAAGCAGGAAGCGAAAGGGAAGTTGCGGACTGATGTCAAAACCCAAAGGATCCTCCGAAACGTGGCGAGGAGTGCTGATGTCCTACAGCTACAGAGCGCTGGAGTTCGTGCCATGGCACCCGTTCTGGATGAGGGAGAGGGAGAGTCTCTTCAATGATCCATGTGGGGAGAGTGCCAAGGTTAAAGCAATTGGATTGCAAAACCTCTTCGTATTGTGGGTGTTGACATATCAAGTACATTAAAATGGGAGACCCGCCAACCTATTTAATGATAATGCAGGTATATTTAAGGCTCTTTTTTCCAGGGGTTCCAGCTCAGCATTCTCCCTATTTCACATGTTCCATGTGGGTCTGAAAAAAGATCTAGACCCCCGAGTTCGACCTCTGGGAAAGTCGAAAACAGACTAAACATGTAAATGTAGTTAAATTTATATGTAAAAATCCTTTGGGCTACGGCTAGGGAGGTTCCCTTCTTAAAGTACAAATCCATGTGAATCAAGTGGCCCGACTTGGCCGATTTCGCTTGTCGCCTTGCTCACGGGGTCCAAGTGGAGCCAGCGCAACAAGGACTTGGCACACTCTGTGGGCAGCCTGGCAGGCTTGCGGTTCTAAGAGTTTATGTCACCAACCTCTGTGTCACCAAATGGGAGAGCGTGACTGGGTACCGGGAAACACAACGGTTTCATCGACTTCACACCTCTCAAATAGGTGCATGAGCACTCATCCTAATCCCAACATAGAATCATGTAAGCATGGAATCTAAAATATGCCCCTTCCTTTCTTGAAAATGCTGGGGGTGGACAATAGCGACCTGTGTACCTCTGACCCATGAGACAACCCCTGCAGAGTTGAACATCATACACCTTCGGTTACTCTGACATCAGAATGCATGGCTTGGAATTGGCTGAGTGTGCCATCTACTAGGCACCCACATGATGGCATCATTGAGGGGTCGGTGCCACTTACCGAATATACTTGCACGCTGAACAGGGTATTTCACCCCCTCTATCAATCAACCAACCAAGACCGGATTTTGAAACGCCTGCCAACCAACGGCGCCCCGGCGCCCGGAGGTTTTCCCCTGCGCCGGCCTCTGCAGGTGAAAGTTGGTTGGATCTTCTTGCATCACAGAGGACCAAACGACCTGGTTTGCGGTGAACGCGAGGGAGAAAGCGTCAGCCGCAGGAAAGTCAGCAACCCAACCGAAACGGCACATTGAGTTAATCGTCACATGGTGGACTCTTGATTCATAGACGCACCCCCCAAGTTGGACGGTAAGACCTCTTCATGCGGGGGGTTATGATGCATCAAGAATTTACATTATATAGTGCAAATGATGTGCCGGTCGAAAGGAAAACCGTTTGCCGTTCACCTGACATAAGTTAATCACATTGATGAAACATATTTACTGTTCGAATCCACCTTACCTTGATCCACATTCATGCACCTTCCGTATGTTCTGCGCGCTCTGAGCCGACCGTGTTCACGGTCCCCCGACCGAACACGCAGAGACCCGTGCCGTCGCCTCAGCCAAACCTGAGGCCTCCAGGGCTGCCAGGGCCGTTGGGAGCCGCAGGAAGTCTTCCAGCAACGCCAGGCCCGAACAAAAGGCCCGCGCCACCTGGGCACGTTGCGGCGCCTGGGCACCTCTTGGTGCCCGGTCTGGTGGGGATGTCTGAGGGTCTGAGGCTGGGTCTGACCGGCGTGCATGCCCAAAAAGCTCATCACAGGGGGGGCGGGGGCGTTTGGATCCATTTCAAACCTGGACTTGGTTCATGTTGATTCCATCTTGGGCTGAAAGGAAGAGCCGAAGGCTGCAAAAAGGCGTCAAAACGGCGCCGGCGCTTCTCCGGTTTGCAAAGGTAAGATCCTGCTGCAAAAAAAGGCCGACGCGAGAGGCCTCTGGCCCAAATCATTCTTCTTGATGGAATGAAATGGCTGTTGATCACCCTGGTTGATCACCGAACATGAACGGATTCCTCTATGTTCGGGATGTCAACCCACCAGGATGAAAGAGGCTCCAGATTTTGATCCACTGCCAAATGATCTCCCAAACCTCCATGTGCTACAAATGGGGCGATGACTGCTTTAAGATGCCAATGTGAACCCTATTACAGTAGTTATTTATGTGTTTAAGGCCACTCTGCCCTCCAATCTAAGAGTGCTGGCCTCCAACCTACGTAATAGCGATGGCCTCCAGCCTAATAGCAATGGTCTCCAACCTAATAGCAATGGCCTCCAAACCAATGTGAACCCTTTACTATTCATATCGCCTCTGCTTCTGCAGTCTGATCTTCCTTGCTCTTCGCTGGCTCCTGGTCGACGGATTCAATCAAAGTAGCAAAAACATCCAAACTCAGGCTCCTGAAAACACTCTTCACACAAACTTTGAAAGACAGGTTTTCAAACAACGAACATGCAGAATTACCATTTGGGAATTGATTTGCAATGGACATTCTAACTTGGACCGAACATTCTTGCAACGGCCGATGATGGCACTGATGGCGACAAGGCAGCTGGGATTTTATCACTCCTACTGGGTTGCTCCATTTATCCCAAGTGAACAACTGGAGCAACTACAGCCCAAGCAAGCAACTGTATGTGCGACAAATCCCGTGAACATGTCTCTTCCAAATGGGAATTTTGTTTGTGCACAAGAGTTGGTTCTTCCAATGGGATTGAAACAAAATCGAATTCACCTGGCGTACGTCGGTTGGTCGGCCGGCCGACGGACCAAATCGGAAGTGGTGCCGGTAGTGCAGCAGATTCCCATCCGCGAGTTAGCCATGCAGAAATGTCTCATCTCCTAGGTCAAGGGACCCTGAAATTCATGGTCCTATCGGCCCTATCAGCGTCTAGCTCAGCTACCAAAAATCACATCACTGTCTACAACATCTCTTTTCAGCGCTACACTCCGCACAACCAACGTGGAAAACACACTTTTGCGATCAAATAAACCTTCTCTTCAGGGGGACAGTATTCCGTATCTCTACTCCCAATGCCAATAGTCTACTGCTTGCCCTGCCTGGCTCATCCTGGTCATGTCCCGCAAGGAACTCACAGTGCTACGCCAAAAGTCCTGCAAACGAAGCGCTCTGGACAATACCCACACCGACACCGAGTTTTCCCCAACCAGTTTACGGTTAGGGGTTCTCAATTCTTTCTTAAGATGTGCCCAGGTTCGGTGCCTGTACTGCTGCTGTCCGCTCTTTTCCGCTGGCCATGCAGCATTTCCATTCATCTGTCTCCCAGGTGATTTCTTCACTTCCCCAAACAGGTTGCCGTTAGGGGTTCTCAATGCTTTCTAAGGGTGTCCGCCTTGCTGCGGGACAGCGTGTCCGCCTTTACTCCGGCTTGTCACCCTCTGTCTCCCTGTCCGCCTTGTCTCCCTTCTGTCTCCCTTTGTCCGGTCTTGTCTCCCTTCTTGTTGGTCACTGTGCCTCCTTCTTCTCCGTCTTGTCTCCCTTCTGTTTCCTTTTGTCTCCCTTCTTCTCTCCCTTCATTTTGGTCATTGTGTCCCCCTTGTCTCCCTTCTGTTTCCTTTTGTATCCCTTCCTGTCTTTCTTCTTGTTGGTCATTGGGTCCGCCTTCTGTCTCCCTTTTTCTCCGGTCTTGTCTCCCTGCTTGTGGGTCACTGTGTCTACCTTCTTGTCTCTCTTGTTGTTGGTCATTGTGTCTGCCTTGTCCCCCTTCTGTCTCCCTTTGTCTCCCTTCTTGTTGGTCACTGTGTCCGCCTTCTGTTTCCTTTTGTTTCCCTTCTTGTGTGAGGCGGACACAGCAGCCCAGAGCTGGAGACAAATGTAAAGGATTTTGCTTCACATTTGCCTCCCTGTGTCTGCATTTGTCTCCCAGCTCTGGACTGCTCTGTCCGCCTCTGCCTTGCAATCCTTTACATTTGTCTCCCGGCTCTGGGCTGCTGTGTCCGCCTCTGCCTTGCAGTCCGCAGCCTGTGGAAGAGCATCAGCCAACACCTAGGACCAAGACGGGAACGGAGTCAGTTGGCTGAGAGGCAGAGGTGTCAGGAATTGAATTTGAAACGAACAATGAACTAAATATTCAAAAAATAAACTCTTGTGCATCTCCAGCGTCCAGTGGCAAAGTTCTTCACTCGCTTGTTGAAGCTTTGCACCACAGCGGTAGTGGGTTTGTCCGTTACAAACTGCTTGGAACCGCTTTTCGAGTCCTGCACGTCTTCGTACTTCTCTCGTTTCAGTGCACCAACACGAACCAAAATCCTCCATCTTGCCTGTTCTTTTGTCTTCCACTGTCTGTTTGTCGGCAAGCTCAGAGTCTTTGAGGTCTCTGTTCCATGCATCCAAAGCTTCTTTTGGATTCAGCCGCTCCTCTGGTGGAACCTTGTGCATGTAGTGTTCCTTAGCTACTAGCCAGGCCATGAAAGAAGAACATTACGATTTGAAAGTGCAGTGTCGTAGATTCGTCAGACTCGTAGCGTCCGTCTTAGAGTACAGCACAGTACTCACGTCCCGTAAGTACAGAGAGTACGTACAGTACGGTAACCTGGCTGCCTCTGCGAGCACTTTGCCATTCTGGCATCATATTGGTGAGAAGGATCTGCTGGGCCCCGGTCCGTTGCCGTGCATCTTCAGACTTATGGCGCGAACGTCGCGGCGTCGAACGGAAGGCGCTTCTGTTTCTTCATCCGCTTGCCACAGTCTTCATGAAGTTGAAGTCGACGCTAGGTTTCCAAGGCTTCCCGGGTTGCACTGATGGCCGCTGCAAAATCAGAGAAGCATTTGGCATCCATGCAACAGCCTCACTCACCGACTTGACGCCGAACCAAGTGACTAAGACTTACCGGCCGGAACTTATGAACATATTGCTTTTAGATACACATTTTTGAACTAGCTTGACTGAGATTGATTGAGACTATACACTGTTCCCCAAATCGAGATCCCGTCCTTGTCAATCTCCCACGTCCCAAGTCCCAGTTGGGCCGCCGCCCACCAGACACCAGTCCACTAGTCACCAGTCCAGTCCAAGGAAGAAACACAACCAAGGCACTCTTCAATCCAGATTCAAGTGCACGTAGTGCTTGAACCAGGGTACTAGCGTTTGAGCTTTGCAGTGAGTGCACGGTCAGTGGAGCTGCTGCAGCTTCTGCATCTTCACCTAGATGGTTCTCAGCAGTGGCACCATTGTTGCCAGTGCCATTTCTGCCCTTTCCATCACTGCCCTTACCCTGGCCCTTTCCATCACTGCCTTTGCCATTGTTGCTTTTGCCGTGGCCCTTGGCGGTGGCGTTGTTGCCATTCTGACCCATTATGACGCCAAAGCCCGCATTGTATGTGTCCCAATTGTCCACGCTGAAATAGTTCCCAACAAAGACTGTCACGACATCATTGTCAAAGACATTGATAGTTATTTCCAGCAGCCTCTCATAGAAGCTCAGCAGAAGCCCCCTGAGCAGGGGATGGTAGCAATGCACTTGTATACTGTATAATACGCTAACCATGGACCATGCACCATGCAACAATGCCAATGCCAACCAAAACTTTGGGAGGCTAGAGTTGCTGTCAGATCTTGTTCAATGTTGTTGTCTTCTTAGTTATTCAATGTTGTCAAATTGTTCTTTGGCCTGGCCTGAATTGCCTCAATGGCAGTGGCAAAGAACTTTTCTCACCTGCAGGTTGACTGGCACGGCCCCACTGGCGGCCCCCCCACTGCCACTCCACCAGCCCCAAAGTTTCAAAATAACCAGTGCACAAAGTGTCTAAATATATATATATATATTATATAACGTATAAAAAACAGAACATATTCGACATATTCCATAAACTTGGTCACTTGAGCCAGCCTGGGTCCTTCAAGTTGTCCCAAAGATTGGCCGCATTCTTGAGGGACGCATATGCGCGGACCAAGCAAGTCATTTGTGCTTGGTGGTTTGGTTATAAGTACTCTAGTTCTATCGCCAGTGAGTTGAAGTATGCACGAGCAGCGTTTTGCCTCCATTGCGGCCAGCCCGCTAGTGATGTCATCGCTGCTCCGAGTCTCTGAGCAAGTAGGGCTATTACATAGAAACTCGGGTGTATGTCACTCAATCAGTCGTTTATGGTATGTGCAAAACTTTGAACAGACTGTGCGTACTAATTATAATCATACTCACAGAACATACTAGGATGAGGTGAGCCCTTTTGAAAGTTCACATGTGAGTCACCGTGAAGTCCAAAGCCACGTCGCAGTCCAAGTCCAGTCGAGTCAAGTCCAGTCAAAAGAGGTCCCCCCTCCACAACCGACTCCTTGCCACTTGGGCGGTATAAACCATTGGCATGTTTGAAAGCCCCCCGTGTTTTGTGCGTTTCAACCTCTGTTTCTCACAGATTGCAACGTCACACGACTTGCTCTGAAGCTTCTAACATTTGTAGAGCAGGGGGTGGAGACGCATGTAATGCTTCGCCACCAACGAAGCTGGCAATTAATACACTGTGAGGATATCAGTTCTGGGCGCAGAACCGACGTACTTGCTTAGGTTGTGAAAATTGTGAGCTTGATGTGAACCATTGTAAGTCATTTTGTTTCGGACCCTGTCGCCTTTCGAAAAGCTGTTGGGTCCGACTTTGTTGAGGGCTTGGAAGCGCCCTTTTTTCCAAAACGCTTGGTTTGGAATGGTTCCCCCTTTTGGACCAACACGGCTCCCTTGAAAAGTGGTCTGATTTCTTTGTTGTACCGGGCCAGGACAAAGTGGTTGAGGAGCCTGGCCTCCCAAAGGCGGGCTGAAACGACAGCGAAACCTGTACGGTTGCAACCTTGTGGAAGAAATAGGCTCAGGCGCAGAAAGGTGGTTAGTAACAAGAATGTAACAAGAAAAAGCGAGGTGATTCAATGCCAGGTAGGTAATGTTGCGAAGAAGCTAGGCCGAACTAATCGGTGGGTAAGCAGGGGCCCCACTTTGGGATTTGGCAAGGCAATGGGAAGGCTGCAAGAGGACATGTTGGACCAAACTAGGGGGAGGGCTGTTGATTGTTAGCTCAGTTGGTTGCCCGGTTGCTGATTTGGAGAGCTGCCCCTCCAAGATAACAGGTTGTTTGCGGCAAGACAACCTGGCATTCTTTGCTACCAGGCCTTTTAGGTTTCCAATCTCGCCAGCATTCAGCTCTGAGTCCAAAACTGTGGTTTTTGCGAGCGTCCAATTTTCCAAAACAGTTGTTTTGGAAGAGTCCCCGCTTTCAGGCTGGAGTACTTAACCTACATACGCTGACTAATCTTCTGGGTATTTGAAGAACCCCCCGTTCAACCTGGCCACCTACAAGGAGAGCCACAAGGAGGTGAAAGGCCAAAAGCAGAAGGCTGACTTTGAACTTCTCACTTGGCCCTCCTTGGCAATCCTTGGTGCGTGGTGGCGCTTGGGGCTGCCGTGACCGTGGAGCCCATGATGGCGGCATAGGCTTCGGCGAGCCCTTGGACGGTTTGCCTGATGACCACGCTTCTCTTTTGAAAGCGTATCTATGGACAAATCATCGTAAGACTAGACTAGGCTGAACATAAGATGTCAGGAATTTGAAATGACCCGAGACAGGTTGAGACATGTTTCGTTACCATTGCTACCTGCGCCGCCTTCAGCCGTTCCCGCTTGGTCCGCACACGGCGTGCTTCGCGGCTCTGCTGACTGTTTTGAGAACGTAGAGGGAGGGCTGCCTCTTGGTCCGCACACGGCATGCTCCGCGGCTCTGCTGACTATTTCGAGAACGTATAGAGGGAGGGCTCCTCCCTGGCGGAAGCTCTGAGAATGTCGAGCACAGGACGCGCTGTAAAGACTTTGTAAAAACATGATCCGAAAGATCCCCCTGTACATAACGGGGTGACGTTGGTCCCCCCATTCTATAGCTATAAAAGTGGGGACGCGGAGTTTGGTGTTACAAAATGCCAGGACCTGGAAAAAAAAACACTATAGAATGAAGGTACCTCTAGTGATGACAGCCACTAGGAGTCTGTTTCAAGTCAAGCTGAAAATGCTCTAGAAAATGCCTGGCCCGACCCTCAACCTCTCAAAACCAAAAACATACAAAACACTGAAAAACATTTTGTAGTGCACTCGTCTTGGATCATGAAAATATGATATAGGGTCAGCTGAGGGTCGTGTGACAACATTTTGTAGTAGCATCACTCTAGATTCTTGTATTTTTGAATCTGTGTGAGCTGAGGGTCGTGAACTGGCATCTTATAGAGGGTTGAGGTCGGGCATGGGCATCTTATCTGGGCAATTTAAAATAATTCCTGGGTCGTCGGTTAATTTCGTTAAATTCAAAACCAACTGAAATTAGTGACGTCGTCGAAATTAACGAAATTATGGTGACGTCGTTGTGCCCTAACGCCCCCAGCCAGCCAACACGCTGGCCAGCCAGGGGCGACACCACTATAAAATGTCCGCCCAGGCAGATGATGTCATCATGTTCTTGCCACAAATTGTCACTACTAAATGATGGTGGCTGGTGACATTTGTTCACAAAACACTTAAATCACTACAATATGCAAGCACACGAGGTCATCATGGGACACGATTTTTATATAAAAAACATAGTTATATAGGGGCTTGAGCACTGCCATTCCATAGTGGAAATGCACAGGGGGATTCCGAAAGGAATTTAAGTTGCTACATTGGCATATAATATGAAGATGATACGAAGTCTGGAGTTAGTAGACTTTAGCCATTGGGTAAGTTGATTGGGGAATTACAATAGTTGGGCATCTCAAATCCTGCCGGATTCTATATACGTTTTTCCCCAAACAGTGTGGGAACACTGAGGGGTTCTTACGGTAACGGAAAGGCAGCTGATGCTTTGAAGCGCGCGGGCGTGACCGGCTAATTCGCTGCTATTTACAGGTCACTTTTCGTGGCAGGCGCAAGGGAAACCTCGTGTTTTGGTGCTCCCAATTCGACTTTTCGTGACAGGTGCCAGGGATCGGATTTGTTTTACTTCGTGGCAGGTGCAGCACTTTGGACATGGCGGTGATCGTCGAGCAGCTCAGATTTCGTGACAGGTGCAGTGAATCGTGACTTTTGGACATATGGCTCGTTTGCAGATTTCGTGGCAGGCACAGCTGTTTTTGAACCTCGAAGTGCAGATTTCGTGGCAGGCACAGCACTTGGTGAACCTCGATGCGCAGCTTTCGTGGCAGGCACAGCATGGTGAACCTCGAAGTGCAGATTTCGTG